CTGTTTTAAGCAGTTTTTGGAAGTAGGGTTTGTAAGCGGTGATAAATCTTGTAGTAGAGTGTCTATAGAGTTTGATAAGTAGCAAACCCAGCTTTGGAGTTTACAGGGAAGAATGAGAGGTCAGAAACAACTTCCTAAGAATAACTTGCAATGGCTATTGTTGAGGGATGAGTAAAAATTAGCAGTATGATCATTTATTTTTAGAAAGATGATTCGGAAGCATTTCAGGGGGCTGGGTATTCTGGTGTAGGCTTTGTGTATTGACGGCATGGAGATCAGTCTCTTAACTTGCAAATAAGGCAGTACCCATGGGATGGTGAAGGGAAAAGGGGGTCCAAATCATATTTGCGGTTTGGAGCTTAGATAGAGGGAGGGCTTGGAGTAGGTCTCAGTATTCTGTTCCTAATTGGTGACTTAATTCACTGGAGATTGATAATGTGATTTGTTTTTTAAATCTTTCAACAAGTAGAAGCAAATTCCTGTCAAGGAATAGTCTATTCATTTATGGGTAGATGCCATTTTGTAAAAGTGGGATAGCTTTTCATTTTCTTCTTCTTCTTCTTCTTCTTTTTTTTTTTTTGTGAAAACCATTTGGCTCAGTAGCTGGTTTGTCCTTTTTGTTATTGTAGGCTAAAGCCAATTTTGAAAAAGAAGAAAGACGTAAAGAACTTAAGCGACTTCGGGGTGAGGATACATGGATGCTACCTGATGTGAATGAGCGAATTGAGCAGTTCTCACAGGTGAACAGTAGGAGGTTTACTTGATGAAGCTTATCTGTCCTTTTTTGCACTCATTCAAGTTAATTTTGGAATAACAACTTCATAGACTTTTTCTAAGTTACAGAACAAATACCACATAGTTGGCATTACTGAATAGGTTTATCTCACTGGCAGAAGTAATATATTTTAATATTCTGGTCATTACAACATTGGAAAGATTTTGTTACTTGAGATAGCAGGAGAAAACTTCACATTCTGGTCTGCTTGTAACAAGCTTATGGGTTTAAAAATCATGCATTTTAAGCTTTATGTCTTTGATTCCTATTTATTTATTTATTTTTAGACCTCAAGCCTGTTTTCTCCTCCTACAGTTTTTTCTAAATTTATTTTTAATTGAAAAGTAATAATTGTGTTTATGGGTACAATGCCATGTTTTCATCTGTGTATGCCATATCGTAAGATTCAAGTAAGCTAATTAACATATTTATCACCTCACCAACTCATCTGTTTGTGGTAAGAACATTAAAAATTTATTCTTTTGGCAGTTCTGAAATATATAGTGCGTTAACTGTGTCACCATGCTGTGTAGTAGATCGCTAAAACTTCTGTAACTGAAGCTTTGTCCTCTTTAATTTGCATCTTTCCTTTCCCCATCGCTCTTCCTCCCTCCAGCCTCTTCCTGTAATTTTAATTCATATTCTCTTGTTATATTTTTTATAGCCTGATAATCTTTTTCTTTTTTTTTTTTTTTTTTTGAGACAGAGTCTTACTTTGTTGCCCTCGTTAGAGTGCAATGATGTCCTAGCTTACAGCAACCTCAAACTCTTGGGCTCAAGTTATTCTCTTGCCTCAGCCTCCCAAGTAGCTGGGACCATAGGCACCCACCACAATGCCTGGATCGTTTTAGAGATGGAATCTTGCTCTTGCTCAGGCTGGTCTCCAACTCCTGAGCTCAAGCTTGCCTTGGCCTCCCAGCGTGCTAGGATTATAGGCATGAGCTACCGTGCCGGCCCTATGGCCTAATAATCTAGAATAAAGATTTTCGAGGAACTTAGAAGGATATTATGTGTGTTTTTGTATGCAGATCTATACGTGTTTGTGAATATGTTTACTTGATTCTATCTGTCACATGAATCTACACATAAAAATTTTTTTCTGATTTTTTTTGTAAGGAATCTCAGCTATTTTGGTTATAAGCCATGCATATGTGAATAGAAGGCATGGAAGACTCATTTCATGGAAGACTTAACATTTATTAGAGTGTGGATTTTTTTCCTTCAGAATGTTCTCTTCTGAAGTAAGATAACAACTAAATTCCTTTCTTGCTTGTTCAAAATGATAGGAACACTCTGTGAAGAAAAAGAAGAAAAAAGACAAACACTCAAAAAAAGCAAAGAAAGAGAAGAAAAAAAAGAGCAAGAAACAGAAATGTGAAAAAAACAATGAGTCATCTGATAGTTCATCAGTAAGTATGCACTGAAGCTAATCTTAGCAGCTATTTGAGGAAATTTTATTTGAAAGAATAACATTTGGGAACTTAACAATGTATGAGGACTCCACATTTTACTAGTTCTGATAATGAAAATATTTGGCAGACATTTAAGTCTTTAAATTTGGATGGGTTTCTATGCTTACTTTTGGGGCCAAAAGGAAGAGAATGCTGGGTTGGCTCTGTCTCTAGTCAGTGCTGGGCTGAAGAGGCCTCACAGAAGACAAGAAAGCAGGTCAAATCCTTCATACTTATTTTCAGGGGAAAGAAATTATGCTTAGAGAGTGATGAGCTAGAGCCGTTTAGGAATAATTGGTTTCTCACATAGGATTTTCATACGGTTATCCTTTTGGTTGAATCACTATAGCCCGAAGTCTGGTCCCCCTGTAGTTTCAGAAACTAAATTTTTGGCAGTAACTATTAAAGATAAACACAGCTGGATATTAGTTAATTGTGATGTAAACAGATTTTATCCAGTTACTACTGACAGTAGGGGAAATTGATGAATCCATCTTAATTTGTGCAGAGGTGATTTGGGCACTTTAAAGGGAGAATGAGGGAGGGAGAGACGAGAGGGACCAATAGAGTGAGAAAAGTAAAAAATTAAAAAGGGTTGGTCATCGTAAGTTCCATTAGGCCAGCTGTCACTGCCACTGACTCTTACTATAGTTAAGAGTCTGTCCTCCCACAGAGACTGGGATATAGAGACCCTGTCTTTCCTGATGATTACATTTCAGAGGAATGGCTCTCAGGTCTTTGAAGGAGACCCTTCTGAGTGGTAAGAGATACCGCATTCACAACTGCAAGCTTTCTTTAGTTAAGTGCCCTAAGAAAGGGAAGTTGAGAGCCTATCATCAGGGGTTGGCTAGAACAAATAGTAAATCTTCCTGGCAATGTTGAGCTCTCTCAAGCAGGCATTTGTTAGAGTCATTCATTCTAGGGACATAATCTTCTGCAACTAGAAGCTGTGTTAGAGTTTGGTTAAATCTTTTAGTATAAGGGCTGGGTGCAGTGGCTCATGCCTGTGATCCTAGCACTCTGGGAGGTCGAGGCTGGTGGATTGCCTGAGCTCATGGGTTTGAGACCAGCCTGAGCAAGAGTAAGACCCAGTCTCTAAACATAGCCAGGCAGTGTGGCTGGTGCCTGTAGTCCCAGCTACTCGGGAGGCTGAGGCAAGAGAATTGCTTGAGCCCAAGAGTGTGAGGTTGCTGTGAGGTATGACTCCAGGGCACTCTACTGAGGGCAACAAAACAAGACTCTTTCAAAAAAAAAAAAATCTCTTAGTATAGAAGCTTAGATGAAGTTATGTGGCAAAAGTTATGTAATTCTTAATACCCCGAAATGGTACTTGACCTTGAAAGCCTATCTTATGTGAATAGAGTGCATTAATTCACAATGAGAAATACAACTGGATAGTTTTGTAGATTAGCCAGCACATTTAGTAATGGTAGAAATATTTAAATTATGTAGAAAAAAATTCTTTGTATGTAACTCAGAACAAAGGGAGTTAGAAAATCTTTTTTTTTTTAAAGAGATGAGGTCTTGCTCTGGGCTCAGGCTGGTCTTGAACCTGTAAGCTCAGGCAATCCACCCACCTCCACCTCCCAAGTGCTGGGATTACAGGCGTGAGCCACCACGCCTGGCCCCTTTAATTTTTTTATTTTTTTGGGAGTTAGAAAATCTTAAAGAGAAGATATACAGACATTGTTATGATTGTGAGTTGGATTGTTGATTGCATTGAGAATGTAATTAAAGTAAATAATCCTTTCTTCAAAAAAACACGTATCTATTATGTTGTTTATTTCAGTGAGGTGTCTAAAACTTTTTGGAGTTTATGCAAGATCACAGGCTAAGCATCTCCAGATATGCCAGGCTGTGTTTAAATATTTATGTCATTGATTGTGGGTACTTACTTTCACTTATTAGAGACACATCATGTTTTTTTTCTTAGTTCTTTCTTGGAAATAAATATATATATATATAAAATTTATATTTTTGTTGCAACATACAGTATGTACACTTATACATACATAAATTGTATAAAATACATCCTTAGAGCAGTGTTTTTCAACCTTTTTTTATTTTATATCACACTTGAACCTGTAGTTAATCTTCCATGGCACACTTAAATTATGTTGATCCAAAAAAAAAGCAAAAAAAAGAATATACTTACTGTCCTTTGAACTTTTTTCAAAAGTAATTTAACAAATAATCTTTAAAAATTTTGTGGCACACCTAAGATTCTCTCATGGCACACTGGTTGAAAATGACTGCTGTAGACCCATTTAAATGAATGCACTGTGGCCACACCACACTGAGATGAACTGAAGAATGAAAGAGAAGTTTGTGCTGGTAGTAAAGGGAAGGAAAGATTGGGTGGGGGAGCTGGAGGAGCCTGGGTTGTTGGGAGGTCTTTTTGAGAAAACATTTTTAGGGAAGGAGAGATAAATAATATTGAAGAGAATGATACATTTGGATCAGTAGGGTCCCAAGAGAAAGCTTTGACGAGGCATAAGAGCACCCTCCCTTCTGAGCTAGGTTTGAGGTCATAAAATGTGTACAAACGTAGATAAGTAAGGAGAAGGCGCGGTGAGAAGGGAGCTGATAGTGAGGATGTTTCTCCTTGTTCTCTGTGAGATGGAAGGTAAAATCACTGAGAAGATAATTTAGCAATAAAAATAAGACATGGGGAAATGCTGTAGATTTGAAATAACTTCGCGTAATTAAAAGAGAAGCAGAAAAATTGACAATCCACGTGAGGCTGCAGAGTGTATCTTGACTTTATCACGGTCCCTTTATTTTAGAACCAACTTACTGAGGTGTAGTTTACTATAATGCAGTGCTCCTCTTTTAAATGTCCTATTTGATGAATACACCTGTTTAACCAGGTCACTTAAAATACATTTTCACTGTCCTGTCAAGTTTTTCATGGCTTTTGCAGTCAGTCCCCCCCCTCCCCCAGACTGGGCAACCACAAACCTACTTTAGCACATTCTAATCTTTCCTGTTGACAGATCTGATATAAATATATTCATAAAATGTGATCCTCTTTGTGTCTGGCTCTTTGACTCAACCATTCATGTTGTTGCATGTGTCAGTTGTATGCATATACTGTAATTTGCTTATCTGTTGGAAATTATTATATTTCGGTTATTTTTAGTTTGGATCTCTTTTGAACAAACCTATTGCAAACATTTGTGTACAGGTCTTTTTGCAGACTTACGCTTTTATTTCTTTTGAGAAAATGCCATTATTTTCCAAAGTGATTGGACCATTTGACATTCCTCCTTACACGTGTGGGAGTTCCAGTCATTCCACATCCTTGTCAGCCCTTGATGCTGTGAGTCATTATAACTTTTAGCCATTCTGCTGATGTGTGTAGTAATACCTTGTGGTATTTCTTTGATTAACAGTGATGTAAGTCATCATTTTAAGTCTTTATTGGCCATTCTGTGTCTTCCTCTGTGAAGTCCAATTTATCCATTATTTATCATGTTTTTATTATTTTTTTACTAGTGATTTTGGTATCCTAATCTTTTTATACCTCATTCACACTTGACTTTCCCCTTTTTTTCCTTAGAAGGGTTATAGCTTTGGCTTTTTTGTTTATCTGTGATCTATAATTAATAAATTATAGTCTTTAGTTTTTGTTTATAGTGTATTATAAGTGTCAAAGTTTTTTTTTTTATATGAATTTCCATTTGTTTCAGAATCATTTGTTGAGAGGCTAACTTTCCTCTATTGAATTTCCTTGCCTTCTTTATTGAAGACAAGTGGAACATATGACTCTGTTCTGCTCCTCTGAGCTACGTGTTTCTCATAACTACACCTGTGAATTACAGGGGCTTTAGGGGAAGTTTGGATCATGCAGTGAAGGTGCTTTGATTTTGCTCTTTTTGAAAATTGTTTTGCCTGCTTTAAGTTCTTTGCATTTCTTTGTAAGTTTTGCCTACTCTACGTTCTTTGCACTTTGTAAGTTTTCAATCAGCCTGTTATTTTCAACAGTTACTTTCATCGAATGTCCGTTGATATTTTGACTAGAATTGTTTTGTATTAGTAGATCAACTTTAGGAGATTGACATCTTAAAATATTGAGTCTTTCAATCCATCATGCATATGGTTCATCTCTCTATCTTTTTAAGTCTTCTTTAGTTTCTCTTACAATGTTCTGGAATTTTCAGTGTAGTGATCTTATATATCTTTTGTTGTATTTTTTTATATTTTGTTTTCTTGGAGGGCCATTGTAAATAGAAATTAAAAAATTAAGCTTGTATATATAAATATACAACTGTTTTTTGTATATTTATCTTGTATCTTTTCACCTTACTAAATTCACAGTACTAGTGCTAGTAGTGTTTTTAGTAGATTTCTTATGGTTTTTAGTACTCTATTTTCTATTTATTCTTGAATTTTAATAATTTGGGTTTGTTTCATTGACTTAAACTATATTTGGTATTTTTTTCCTAGTACCAATTTTGTATTTGATTTGCTCTTTTTTTCTAGCTTCCTAAGATGTTTGCATAGGTCATTGATTCTAAACTGTCCTCTGTTCTAATGAATATTTAATCTCTACATTTTGCTTTTAGTCCTTTTGTATCTTCACCTAATTCTGATGTGTTATATGTTTTAACTTTACTTCTGAAAAAATTCATGAATTATTTATGTGAGTTTTAAAATATCCACATATTTGTGGATTTTACTAGGTTTTCTGTTATTGACTTTCAATTTAATTATGTTATTGTTACAGAATATACTTTGTATAATTTCATTTTTTGGAAAGTTATTGAGACTTACATTGTAGCTTATAATATATCTTCTCTTTCTTTCTTTTTTTTAAAAAAATATAGCCCGGAAAGCTAAGAATAGCATATGATAGTTCTTGGTGAATATTCTATGTGTATTTGAAATAAATATGTATTCTTCTGTGTTAGATGGAGTGTTCTATAAATGTCAGTGGAAGTTGGTTAAAAGTGTTA